ACATTGGTGATGAGTTGATAAAGTTAGTTTCCTCATGGGTACAAGATATCAGTTCTGGAACTATATGCCCTCTATAGAATGCACATAAATAAAAATCAGATAAGTTTGGGATAAATGGTGTGAATTAGGAGCTATGGTTTTCAAAGTCAGAGAAATAAGAAGTGCGGTAGTTTGTAATTGGCCCCCATAATCTCATAGGGAGTGGCACTATTGGGAGGTGCAGCTTTGTTGGAGTGGGTATGGCCTTGTTAGAGGAAGTGTGTCACTGTGGGGGTGCGCTTTGAGGTTTCCTATGCTCAGGATACTGCCCAGTGTCACAGTTGACTTCCCGTTGTATGCAAGATGTAGGACTCTCAAGTACTTCTCCAGCACCATGTCTGCCTGCACACTATCATGCTGCCTGCCATGATGATAATGGACTGAACCTCTGCAACTGTGAATGAGCCACCCGAATTAAAAATTTTCCTTATAAGAGTTGCCGTGGTTGTGGTGTCTCTTCACATCAATAGAAGCTCTAACTAAGACAAGGAGCAAACAAGGGAGAAAAATTGAAAGATATAGTGGCTCTAGATTAGACAGAGATGTTAATATAAAGTCATGGTTGTACAAGAAATGCATACATAGAAAGACGCTGATAAACCCGTATGTGTTGTGGGTGACATACTCCCTAGCTCTACTGGTGAAATGGCCAGTGAAAGCAAGCATTGGGTACAAGTGCTTCATTAGTATGCACAAGGCCCTCTCTTCAATCCCCAGCACAGACAGAGCAGGGAGGAAAGGGAGGAGGTACGAGAAGGAAGAAACGTACATCTAGAACTCATATATTGAGTTCTGATTTTTTTTAAAGACAGTATCTTTCACTGAACCTGAAGCTCAATGACCTGGATTGGACAGGGAGCTTCAAGGATCCACCCCAACCCCGGTGCTGGGGTTGCCAAGAGGCATCTCTGTGTCTGGCTTTTTGTATGGGTGATGATTGAACTGATGGTTGAATACAGTTCATCATGATAATAGGGTAAGAACTTTATTGACTGAGCCATCTCTCCAGCCCCCTGGATTGTATCTTAAAGGATATATCTATGGAAGCATGAATAGTGTATACAAAAAATATTTAAGAGACAAATTTTTATGAAAACAAATTCCCAATAATATATGTATATATTTACTTCCCTAGAAAATAGAGCTTGACTTTCTTTTTCTTGAGTGTTGGATAGATTTAGTACTGATTTACTTCCAAAGGATGAAGGATGGAGGGGGGAAAATCATGGCTCTACAATGGAAATATCTGGCAGATTCAATCTTAACCATGTAGTCCATGTTAACACCCCAATGACAAGTCATGTTGACATGATAGAGTCATGTGAAGTCAACTCACCCATGTAACTCATTACAAAAACCCACAACCCCAGTCTATTCATTAAGCAAAACCAAAACCAAGTGCTGACATATACCTAAGCACACTTCACAAAACTAAATTAGATCCAGAAGGAAGGAAATCCCGAATTGCTCTTACCTCTGAAACATGGCACCAAACCCAGTGTGGCATCTGGATGAGGTACTGACCCAGAACAACAGCACAATGAACATGGCAGAAACCCATGTCAGTTCTGAGGTTTTGTTGATAGTATTATACCAGTGCTAATTCTGTTTCCACATTGTTATAGAGGAAGCTACCATTAAGAACAGTTGGGTAAAACATATATGGAAATTATCAGCCATGTCTGTGCAACTTTTCTTTAAATCTAAAATAACAGGAATCAAAAATTATTTTTCCTTAAGGAAGAAACAATATAAAATGAAACCAATGGGAAACATGATGTCCATGATAAAGGGTTCTCCTTTCTTCCAGACCCATCAACCTCTATACAACCCATCTGGTGGTGTAACAGTGCACATTAGGCCTGTCTAGGCAGATAATAGCAGTAAATAATAGCCCAGTCTGGGTACATAGCAGAAAGTGGAGGAGGGAGACAGAGCAGAGACTAATGGGAATCATGCCATTTGGAAGCCTTGCAGACAGGAAAAGACCTTTCTGAGTCCCTGTCCTCACTGACATAACATTAACATTTCTGACCAAATGTGGATACTCCTGTTGTACCCTGTTTATCATGAGAGACACACAGGTTGACTAGATGGGAGTCTGTGCTCAAGGACTCGGACTCAGGTTAACATTCAAGCCTTCTCTGCTCACAGCTGTCATGCCTCAGGGAGGTTTATCCACTGTATCTTTGCCCCAGAGTCCTCAATTGTATCTCGTGGATGACTCACACCTTCACCACAGGGCTACAAGCAAGATGAAATATTTCACACAGGAAAGAAGCCTGAGTTCTTGAGACAGAGGACTCGGTTGGTGGGTTCTGTTTTCTGCTGTATTTATTATCATTACTCAGTGGTAGTGTTTATTATGACTAACAATAATTAACATTGTTTTAGTAAATGAGGACCTACCTCTGCTAAAGTGCACAAAACTCATTAAAATATGGATTTATCTCCCTGTTTACAAGTATCTTTTCATTCCTAATTATAATATTCATTTCAATTATACTATTAATGAAGTCATACCAATGACGCATAAACAGTGTCTAAATTGCATATAGATTAAGACACAGCAACAGGAGCCAGAGTGGAATTAATGCCACCAGAGGGGTATTAATCATGTTTATATTATGTTAATGCAAATGAACAAGATACTGAAGGCATCTCCCATGTCCCCAAGGAGAATCTCATATTGTCTGACAGAATTTACCAAAGAAATACCAATATTATTAGGGTTGCTTCATCAGCCTTGAAAGGTGTTGGGATATGAACAGAATCTATGGGATGTGACAAAGAACTCACAATCCCTGCTTCATGTATGTGCTCCACCCACTTGTCAGTGTCCCCGCCCTCTGCCATGCAAGAAAATATTTGGGGGCTCTCCACCCTGAGCAGATGTAGAAGATGTCTGTGGAGGCCAGAAGAGGACACTGCATCCCCTGGAGCTGGAGTTACAGGTGGTTGTGAGTTGCCCAATATGGAAACTGAACTCAGGTCCTCTGGAAGGGCAATACATACTCTAGAGAGCTGAGCTATCTCTCCAGCCCCAATAGTTATCTATTTTATAAATAATCATCATATTCCTGATTATTTTATTATTCACCATCATGGTATTTCCTTTAATTCTTTAAAATACTTTCTATGACTTCTTTGAATGTATTTATAATAAATGCTAGGAAGTTCACTCTTACTAACCCTATGTCTCACCCCCATGCATACATACACTCCCAAAGAATTCCTTGTGATTTTTTTCCTCCTGCATGAATTTTACTTTTTTATTTTTTGTCAGGTATTTATCAAGCGTTTTCCAGTTTCACCATGCTGTGGTAGTGACTGTGCCTTCTGCTCTCCCCTCCTCCATGAGTGCCTTTGTTTAGTTAATTTCTTCTCTGTGTGTTCAGTGCTTTTGCAGGGACTGCATCCCCAGCATGCTGCTGTTCCATTCTCTAGTTGATTGATCTAGCAAGCACTGCAAGCTTAGGTGAGATACAGTTTTCCCATTGTCTCCAAAATTGCTCCTGGGCAAAGATTTCTCTTTGCTCTGTGGGAAATCAGCCTGCCCAACAAAGCAGAACAGCATCCGGTGCCCAACCACTGACTCAGAACAGGCAGGCAGATGTTCATGCCAGGAAGCTGGTGCAGAATAGGAGCAGCCCTCCAAAGCTTCAGAATTCATGGTTCTACTAAGATCCATTAGCTTGATTCAGTGCTTCTCAGTCATGTGTGCAGAGTCAATTCCTGAAGATTTTTTTAAAAAGATTGTATTTTTAAGGTTTTATTTATCTTTAAGACTTATTTATTTTTATCTTATGTGTATGAGTGTTTCCCTGAATGCATGTTTATGCTCCATATTGTACCTAGTACCTGAAGGGCCCAGAAGAGGCCATCAGATCCCCTGGAACTGGAGTTACAGAGAATCATGTACTATACCATGTGGGTGCTGGGAATCAAAACCAGGTCCTCTGCAGAACAGCCAGGGCTCTTAACTGCCGAGCAATCTCATCAGCCCTATTTTAAATCATGAAACAAAATTTCCAAACCTGGGGGAGTGAGGTGGCTCAGATGGTAGAAGCATTTTTGTACATGTCTGAGGACTTGAGTTTAATCACAAGGTAGCTGAAGAGAACTGACTCTACCCTCCTCCTGCATGCTGTGGGGTACACATGTGCCTGCGCGCGAAACGCGTGCGCACACACACACACACACACACACACACACACACAAATTCCAAAGGCTAAATGAGTCTCATTCCAAGCATTGTGGTGGAATGACTTATCACAGAATGTGAAAAACAGGATTATGGAAGTCCTGCAGTTCTATGAAAGGCAATCCAAATTATCATATAGTGGTGGCTAGCAGTGGCCAATATGTGCTCCAAAAAATTTCTATGTAAATGGCTTCTAGCTTTGTAGCTTCTTCAATGAAATGACTGTGGGGATTGAACTCTATACTGTGTCCACCAGGACCTTTGCCCTTGTGGTCTTCACAGACTGCTGATCCACATGAGCAGGGCTTATGGGCAGGTACCACCCTGCTAATCAGCTTTGTCACTCATAAAATGGTCACAATGACCTTTACTCCTGGGACAGCAATAGAGGCTGAGAAGAGCAGTATATGTAAACCAGCTAACACAGACCCAGTTGCTGTATATACTAAGTAAGTACTAAACTTACTTTGTTTTGGATTTTTATTTGTTTGTCTTGTTGTTGGTTGGGTTTTAGTTTTTAAGACAGGGTCTCATGTAGCTGGGACAGAATTCAAACTCTCTTTGTTACCTCAGCTGATGTTTTTCTTCATTTCATGATTTTTTGAGACTTTTGTTAGAAACAACCTGGGTTTCAAATGCAAATATCTTTGTGGCCTGCCCTGCTGGTATACTTAGGTCTGTCTTTGATTCAGATAAGAACTCCTCCGACCAGCTTCTTATTTTTCCATAGAAAAGTCCCCCCTTGTCTCATACCTACCCTTCCATCTTCATGTCAGTGTCCAGGCATAGGTTGGATTCTAATCCTCTAGGATCCAGAGGTAGAGTATTATTCTGAAATGATATGATTGTGCGAATAGAAAGTTCAGTTGTGTAAAACCCCTGTGACTATATGTGTCACCCTATGTAAGTTATATTGAAAAGTTGCCAGCCAGGCAGGGGAACTGGTGGTTCAGGCTTGTGATCTCAACTAGACAGGAGGCTGGGGTATGAGGTTTGCAAGTTCATTGCCGGCCACTGGTCCAAAGCAAGTTCAAAGACAATCTCAGCAAATTAGTCAGACTCTTTAAACTGAATAAAAGACTGGGGAAATGCTCAGTGGTAGAGTATTTGCCTGACTTATGCAAGGCCCTAGTTTCAATCTTCAGTACCACAAAGGAAAAAAGAAAATGAAATCGCAAATCTCTGACTGTATTTTCCTAAATTGTGTTTATTTTTTTTTAAAAAGATTTACTTCATTATAGTTATGTGTATCTGTGAGTCTGTGCAAATGTATGGGCTTATTTGTGTGAGCGGCTCACAGAGGCTAGAAGAGGGTAGTGGTCTCTTGGAGCAAAGTTAAAAGAGATTTTGTGCTGCACAATATTGGTGCTGGGACATGATCTCTATTCCTCAAGACTGAGCAGTGTGCTCTTAACCACTGAACTATCTCTCCAGTCCCTATATTATCTTTACGTCATTATTGCATTACTTTCATATTTGTGTATAGAATTTAACAAGAATTAATTTTATATCCTGAGAAAGGGGCTGTACTGGCTGGTTTTGTGTGTCAACTTGACACAAGCTAGAGTCACCAGAGAAGGAGCCTCAGTTGAGGAAATGCCTCCATGAGATCCAGCTATAATGCATTTTCTCAATTAGTGATCAATGAGGGAGGGCCCCGCCCATGGTGGGTGGTGCCACCCTGGACAGGTGGTCCTGGGTTCTATAAGAATATCCACTGAACAAGCTAGGGGGAGCAAGCCAGTAAGCAGCTCCCTTCTGTGGTCTTTGCATCAGCTCCTGCCTCCAGGATCCTGCCCTGTTTGAGTTCCTGTCTTGATTTCCTTCAGTGATGAACAGCAACATGGAAGTGTAAGACAAATAAACCCTTTCCTCCCCAACTTGCTTTTTGGTCATGGTGTTTTGTTGCAGCAATAGAAACCCCAGCTAAGACAGGGGCTTTATAAGAGTGACTGGTGTTTTGATATAAAGCCTACAGAAGACTGAGACCAGCTCTTGCTCAGTAAGCACCTCCTGATCCCTGTGGCTCACATTTGCTGCTTCAAAATGATGGGCTGCCACCACATTCCATCTTCCTTCCTTCCTGCTGCCTGCTTCCTGTTCCTTTTCCCTTTCTTCAAGCTAATTCCCTGGATAAGCAGGAATCCCCTTAGGGCATAAAATTGTCTTTTGGTCTTTTGGAAGGCCCCTCATCTCTATAAGGTATGCAGTCTCTATAAGATGCCTCCCACTGTCCCACTCTTGATTAGGCTCTCAGTGAATTTCTCAAGTGTTGGGAGATTAGATGAAAATCGCCGAGCAAAGAGCCAAAACACATCCTCCCCACTCCTGCAGCCTTTCCTCTAATCTGAGCAGAGATGAAAATGGAAGAGACAGCAGAAACACCTTAGAGGCTTCCCTGGAAGCCTGGGTCCAACCCTGATGGCTTGGTCTACATATTTTACTCTCAACTTCGGGTTCTAGTTAGCCTGCTCTCAGACACATGCCAGGGGTTAACCTCCATTCATATTTAGATAGATATGCAGAGAAGTGGTAGTGCAAACAAGAAACATAGGTACAAACACATAGTATCTACTTGTCACTTTTAGGTGAAAGTCTGTCTGCCCACTTATGGAAAGAAATGGGGAATGTAAGCTCCCCACGACAGTACAGTATCCTCTGTGACCAACCAGGAGACTGTGGGTGATTCAGATTGAATGCATATCTCACCAGGGGCTCCCAGGCACCCTAAAAATAAAAATACATTGTTACAGCTGAGCAACGGGAGATGCTGCTCATTAAAAGCATTCTGCATATTGTCAAAGACACATGTGGTACCTGAAATAATAGAACCCATGTTTTCAGGAGATTAAAGAAAAAGAACACCAAAAGAAGGGTGGGGGGAATGAGAACCTTTCTATCTCAAAAGGCACAGATGTTTCCCAATTCTGAAGATGTGGACTGCAGCCAGCTTATAAAGTCCCTTGAAATTGACAGGTTATATCACAGGTGTGGCTAGAGCCTTATCTAAGAAAGCAAGAACAGTCCCATTACAACAACAAAAGCAAAAACAACAACTTCTGAAGCCTGGGACAATGAAAAAAGCTTCCTTGCATAGAATTTCAAGTCACCAACTACTTTGATTCTGTTTGAAGAGTTAAATTCATTTCCAGAAGCCAATGGTGGAATTCTAACATGAAATTTTAAATTAGAAAGAGCAATCAGAAAGAGAAAACTATTGACTGTAAGCCAATATGATATATAGCATGATGGGGGTAATTAGAGCTAAATATATCTTATCTAGCTTTGCAGAAATCCCTAATACATTAAGATTGAAATATTCCCCCCATGAGTTAGGCGATTATCTTTGCAAATATTATTCCTCAGTCTTCTCCCTAAGTGTTTCAGCTAAGAGAGGACTGATAAGAATAAGATAATATTTCTAAACCTAAGGATTATTGCCTGATGCAACTGAAAACATTGCTAATTGTAATACCAGATATGAAAACTACTTTGAAGAGTGATGGAGTGAGTTCTGTGGCTCTGTGGCTGAGTGGATGACCTCCTTTGAAGATCTCTGCAAGGAAAATAATCTACCATCAGTGAAATGATTAAACAGGGCCTGTGGAAATGTTCAGAGCCCACTTTGGGTCGAAGCACAAAAGCTAATGCATTAGATTGTAAGTCCAGAAAACCAGAATAAAGTATCTTAAGCAAAAGAGACTTAAGGGAGCTCTTGCTGGGAGGACTCAGAACTGCAACTCACATCAGTGCTGGTTTGACCCAAAGATTCAGTGCTTTTAAGTTTTTATCTTATGTTTAACTCTGTGTGTGTGTGTGTGTGTGTGTGTGTGTGTGTGTACATGTACAGGTGCTCACAGAAGTCAGAGTGGCAGATTCTTCTGGAGCAGAGTTACAGGCATCTGTCAGCCACCTGATGTATATATGTGTGTGCTGGGAACTGAGCTCCAGTCGTCTGCAAGATGAGGAGTCACTCTTAGCTGCTGAGCCAGCCTACCAGCCCAGATTCAGTGTTACACTAGGACTCCTGATGTCTGACTCCACCTCAGAGCTCCACTGCCTCTTTTGACATGATTCCTCATACAGTGTCCCCCTCTGCATGGTGGATGTTATGATTTAAATCTGCTGTGTCCATTGAAGGCTCATGAACACTTGTTTCCTAGCAAGTGTAAAGAGTCTTTCTCTGTCTCACCAGCTCCCAAATAATGACACAGAGACTTATTATTAATTATGAAAGTTTGGCCTTAGCTTAGTCTTGTTTCTAACTAGTTCTTACAACTTAAATTAACCCATTTATATTAATGTACATTCTGCCACATGGCTTGTGACTGTTACCTTTCTCCTGCACATCCTGCTTGCTCTGCATCTCCTGGTGTCTCCACTTTTCTTCTTCCCCTAGCTCCCTCTTTCCAGAAGTCTGGCCTATACCTCTTGCCTAGCTATTGGCCATTTCGCTTTTTATTAAAGCAGAGTGACATATCTTTACACAGTGTAATTAAATATCTGGCAACAGACGATATTTGCAGGGACTTGGTGCCTTAAGAAGGTGGGGCCTGGCTACCAGTAGTAGGTCCCTTGGGGCAGTAAACTGGGATGAAAATAAGCCTCACCTCAGGCTCCTCCCACCATGGGAGGAGCCACCCCAGCCACCTTGCCTTTCCTGCCATGATGTATAGTAACCCCCTGATGCTGTTACTAGTGATCAGTGTGTGGACCAGACTTTTACAGTTTTATGACACTTTATTCAAAGAATTATAATTAAGGTGTATATGTATTGCAAAGTGGCAAGAAAACTATTCAAAATCAAAGTGATCGGTAGTACAGATCAAAAAGAAGTAAGCTACCAAGAGTAACAGAGAGTCATGAGAGTAACATTATGCAAGCACCCCAAGTTATTGCCTAGAGCTTCTTTTATGGGGTCTAAAAGAAACACTGGTTACTAAGGGGTCTAATTTGTGTGGTTCTCTATTTTGATTGACAGATGAGTTATATAACTTTTCCCTCTACTGTGTAGTTATACAACTATATATATATATATATATATATATATATATATATATATATCTATCTTGAGTTATGAAGTTATAAACTTTTCTCTACTGTCCTTTCCTACACTGCATCTAATTTTATTACTATGAATACCCAATTATGAATATGCATAAGGTGCTCTACCTTATTGTGTATGCATCCAAAACAAGTTCAGGATGGATCAGCTCCTTGCTCTGGTACCCAGCTGTAAACTGGAAATATTTTATAAATAGAAACTATCCACAACGGATGGCTGTCAAGAGGAAAAGGAAGTTATCCTATTATTTGGAATAGGGTGAATGTGTAGCTTGATGTGTCTGGTGTCTTAGATAGCAAGTACATTGTTAGGAGGAAGGAGCGAGTACAGCCCAAATCAATTGAAGTCTCCGGCTGCTAAGCTATTCGCTATGTTTTCCTGCCCCTGAAACATGAGCCAAAATAAACCTTTCCTTTCTTATTTCTGAGAAGTAGTTTGGTCACTTTGATGTAAACAGTGACAAAGGCAGCAGATGAGACGGCTTTTAGAGCCCCACTCTTACATCACCTATCTCCCCAGTAAAGAACTAGGGTTATTTCTCAGGTGTTAAAAGTTCCAAGAAGAACTGTACATTGTTCCATACAGTCCATGTTGGGTCACTCCTCTCTCCTTAAACTAATCATATGGTCTGTATTAGGGTATTCTAATTGGACTGGGTTGCCTCGGGTCCTCCATTACTGAAGCTAAAGAAGGCTGGGAGTTGATGATTTGTGAGCCAAAAGGATTATGTAGGCAATAGACACGATACTCCCTTGAGGTGCAGTAGT